AAATTATTTCGACTTCGTCAGACCAACACAGCTACCTACCTGAAAGTAGGCTGGCTGTGAGGGAATAACAGTATATTATATAAGATTTTATGTAATGCGGCAACATGTTCCATGGTATAGTTCTGAAGGGCAGGCATGCTCAGAAGAAACGCTGTCAACATGCCCAAGATAAATATTATTATTATTATTGTATTATTATACCACCACACCCATCTGGCTAGGCTTCCCCAGCCACTCTGTGCAGCTTACAGAATATATAAAACATAATAAACTCATGCTTCAAACTACTGTTTTCATGATCGTGTGCATTTAAAAAGGACAGCTAATTAGTTTCCCTCCTTGGTAAATACATTCTTCTGTAGCCAGAACCCTAATGTGTGTTGTGGGGTTTTTTTGCTGGAAATGTTGTTGGAAAACACTGTATTTGTCAGCAATACATGGTGTTGTTCAGATGCTGTCTGAGTCCAGTGCTGAACAGTATGACCAATTGTCAGGGATGGTAGAAGTTGTAATATGATAAGGGCACTGTGTTGGCTGCCCCTGCTATAATATATCCCAAGAGATGACCTATTGCTAGTATTACAAAAAGTTATTTCCAGAAAATAATCCCTACAATAATTGTATGATTTCACACTTTGGCCAAGTAATCCATGGCTACTGTATCTCCAACAGAGCAAACTATCTTTACCCACCTGCATGCCCCTTCTTCACAGTCATTATAAAGTATCTGGATAAGTAATAGAATACTCTTGAGACAATTTCAGCAAGTGGAATAGAAGAAGGGAAGGATGGAACCACAGACAAAGTCTGAAGAGTAGGAGTCCACGTCCATCAGCACCTTATAATTGGAAAGCATTGATTTTTTTGACTGTTCGCAGACAAGCAGGGAGCACAGCTTCCTGCTATGACTTCCAGGTCCTAGACAATTCAGTGTATTTTGTGCAAAAATAAGGCATTCAGATATGCCAACAGCTTGGGAAAGGGATAGTGACAATAAAGGAGAAATTATCTGCTTAGAATTTACAAGCACGTGGGTAAGAATCATAAATTTGTAGAGTTGGAAGAGACTCGAAGGGTCATCTAGTCCAAACCCTTGCCATGCAGGATGAGACTGTTGAGATACTAGGCAATATTCAACTAAGTTTTACTCAGAGTAAGTCCATTAGTCATGTCCATGCATTTAAATGGGTCTACTCTGAGTAACACTGAACTGAACACCAACCACTAGGCTGAGACAATGGAATAACTTATGAATCAGTTCCAATAGTTCCAACTGCCTAATTCCTTGCTTCAATCAGGAAGGCTCTGATTTCAGCGGCTCATTATCCTGCTACAATAAGCTGACTTTAAAGGAGCAGTTGAACAACATTCTCCCATTTATGACTTCTGCAGCCTGTCTGGCAAGCGCAGATCCAACAACCAACCTGAAATAATATAAATTTCTTTCAAAGAAATTGTGCTTTACATGTGCATGCACATCCACACACATCCAGACATTTCATTTTTCCTAGAAATAATACAGCTGCACAAATCTGGATAAAGCATCTCACTGTGACAGATGGAGCTGAGCAAAACAATTCACAATGAATATTTCCCCCCACAAATACATTTTCTGCTGCTGGTTTGCTCACAAGCTGATCTTAGCAATCTTTTGCTGCGACCCCACAAGCCATTTTACTTCCTCTGATGTCCATGAAACCAAGTTCCCTTAAATCTTAGCTTACATAGTTTGTCTGCATGGTACACCTAATCAAGAATGGATACTTGATGCATCAGATTAAAATGGGCAAAGGAACACCTGGCTGCAGCTTCCAGGTGAAAAGCTGAGTTCAGAAGCATCCCCAAACTGTGAACCTATTTCTTCAAGGATTCCTATTCCAGAGTCCATCTGTTTCCAGGCAAGAAGCACCTCTATCTTGTCTGGATTAGGTTTCAATTTATTAGTTCTCATCCAGCCCACTACCACCTTCAGGCACCAATTCAGAACACCAACAGCTAGTAGATGAAAATAGCACATCACAATCCTTGGAGAATCTTTCTCAGTTTTCCCCCCTGTAGGTTTTAAATCACATGGGACACAAGACTGAACCCAGAGAAATATCATAACCAATGGACCTGGGGAAGAACGAAAGTCCCCCCAACTTCAGCTTCTGAAGCCAACTCCCAAGAAGGACTGGAAGCGTCTTAATATGGTACTCTCCTAATCCCATTCCTACCAGATGGTCCAGGATGATACCATGGTTGATGGTAATGAATTCTGCTAAGAGGTCCAGAAAAACCAACAGAGATGTACTCCCACTATCAAGCTTCTGGTATAGATTCTCACAGCAACTGAAGCGGTCTCAGTGTCAAAGTCAGAGACTTAAACTGGATGAATGAGTCAATATCAAGGGTGAGGAACCACCAGGCCATCCAGTTGGTCCATATGGCTGGTTTTGGTCAGCTATGCCCACCTATCACTCACCTGGCATGTGATGTCAGGTGTGGGACAGGTAAGGCCTGTTTCAGACAGCCAAGGCCGTCTTTAGCAGATGCGGCACCGGGGTTCAAATATCCACCCAGCGCCCCCAAATTACCACGGATAGTGTTGGGGTGGCCATAGCTGCGCACTGCCAGCCATCCGGGGGGGTGCAACTCTCCCCCATGCCGGTGCGGGAGAGCGGTCCCCGCAGAGGCTTGGGAGTGAAGTTGCACCCCTCCCAAGCATCCGTGGGAGGAAAGCGGTCGCCGCAGAGGCTTGGGAGGGAAGCTGCATGCCCACCAGCTATATGGTTGGCAGGGCACAGCTTCCATCCTAAGACTCTGCGGGGATCACTCTCCTCCCAAGGAGGCTTGGGAGGGAAGCTGCATGACCATCAGCCTTATGGTTGGCGGGGCGCAGCTGGCGGGTGTGCAGGGAAAGGAGAGGACGCCAGCAAAGCTGCACAGCTCCCCCACTCGCTGGGGCGCCCCTGAGAGGCTGACGCCCTGGCGCAACGCACCACTAAGCCCTACGGGAAAGACGGCTCTGGCCACAGCTTCCAGGAATAATCAGGAGTGCACAGTTTAGAGTGTATTTACAACTGTTCCTTTGCAATAATGCATGCATTCAGAGCTGTTTACAGTACTCCCAAGGTTCAATCCTGCCAGGTGGTGCAGAAGAATACCATGGTTAATGGCATCACCAGCTGCCAATATGTTCAGAACTAATAGCATTGCACTGATCTGCTCCAATGCATAGAGCATTGACCAAGGTGACCAAAGCAAACTAAGTCACATGCCCTGGCCAGAAACCCAAATGAAATGGGTTCCAATAATCAGTATCATCCAGATGTGTTGGGAGATCTGAGGTCACCACTTTTCAATCACTGTGCCCCAAAATGGTACATTTGAGCCTGCCCCTGTTCCATAACTGAGTCCTAACCTCTGCTCTGGATTTGGGCCATAGCATCTAGTAATTGTTCAAGGGTAGCAAATAAATAGTGCACCTTTTAAGAAAACAAAGTGCTAGTTTCCAAATTCCACAAAAAAGAGTCCCCATTTTCAAGTCTGGATGAGTTAACAAGTATAGTCATATGCCCCACTTGAGTGTGAAAATAAGAAGTGGCTCATCACAGGAAGCCTTTTAAATTTTTTGCTATCTTGCCACTTCCTGATTCTTTCTGATGCCCAGGGAGAGCCAAAATATCCGCAGAGTAACTACACAAAGTAGTAGCTGGACACAACAGGGAAGTTTCCCCTTTGCAGTTTGTACATCTGTATTTTCAGAGCATCTTTATCTGTGAAAAGCATTTCTACTTGGCTGAATGTTGGGAGCTCAATGGGTTGAAAACTAAAGATAGATAGATAGATATATGTGCGCCCAATGCTTTGAGAAGTCTGAGAATCCATCTGCCGTGCAGCTACAAAGCTGTAGGATGCATTCTTTGCCAGAACCATGGCTTTGTGAATGCTTTATCAGCCATGCTCATAACAAAGATGACTCTTGCCTGCTTTGCTTGCTTGTGAAAACATACCGTTAGCATTCTTTTGCAATGACACAACTGATTCTGCGGATGAATTTTGCAGCAAAAAGAAAAGAAAAGAAAAAGCCCTAGCTCCTTTTGATTTTCACCTTAAAACCTAACTGCAAAGTAATTAACTTCACAGCAGTTGCCATTTGGCAAAGCAATGCCATGTATAGAATGAAATATTCATTAATAATTGACTCTACAAAAACTGTAGTTAAACTATGTTCAGCCAATTTAATAGCTCACAGCTATAAGGATGTAGAGGGTAAAGATCTTTGTGTGACACCGCCCCCCACCCCTGGAAAAAAAAATAGCACTTTCAGTCTGTTCAGCATTGAGAGCTGGGTTTTGTGCAAAAGTGCTGAAGTAAAATTTGAAAGACTCTTCTACAATGAAGACATAAAAGGGTGAATATGGGAAATGGAGCCAGTGGCTGCTGGGATTTTTTTTTACACACACATCACTACTTACCTCTGAAGAGAAGATGATTGATAATGTTCTCCAAATTCAAGTAATTTATTTTTACTTTGAAGGTGTACATTGAGAACAGTCAGTGAGAAATCAAATTCTACCAGGTCTGGATAGGTGGGTGGGTGTGGAAGAATGCATTATAAGTAACAAAATCTGATAGCATCCTATGATGGAATATCCAATTAAGCAATTCTAACTGTGCATCGAATCAAGGCCTTTGTTTCTGCAGTAAAGCTCAGGTCTTATCCTTTTACTGCTGTCTCTCCACAGGGCTCTCTAATTGAATTTACACTTTCTTAACGAGAAGCAAATTTAATGCTCTTTACAATGCCTGGTTGATCGTGATGCGGCTGCCCATTCTCTCCACCCCCCGCCCCTCCCAGTTTGCATGCATCAAAACCTGCTAAGTGATTTTTGTCTGAATGCAAAGGCAAAGCTCAAAGGAGTTCCTGTCTAGCATCCTACCTTTCATCTGCAAAATGTCTCAAAATACTTTTTTTGTGCAGAAAAGGAAACAAAAACGGAGGAGGATGTTTTCTTCCAAGGTGATGATTTGCCACTGTGCCTTCGCAGCTTTGATGGCTATAGTGCCAATGCTTCCTCGGGGGGCGGGGGGAGGAAAAAGTCAGGTGCCGATTTTTATTTATTTTTATTTTCAGTGACGATAACATGTGAGAACCAACGGATGAAAACACCTAATTGGAAAAACAAATAAAAGGAAACTGGCGGAGTATAGCTTCAGTAAAATAGCTGGAATGTTCACATATTCATCTGCCTTATTCCCAAGAAACAAAGCAATGCTTGTATTTATCACTAAAAACCATGCATAAAAATATAATAACTACTATTTTTGGTCAGCCATCTGTATCCTGATACTCCCACCCAGGTCGCTCCAGATGTTTTAGGTTACAACTCCCATCAGCCACTATGAACATGCCCAATGGTCAACGATGGTAGTATTTGGAATCCCAAATATCTGGAAGGTTGAAGAGGTGGCTCTCCTTGTGTGGGCACCAACATGGCATCCTCCAAACACTGTGGACTCTATCATTGTCATGGATTGCCTGGGGCTGTTGGATGTTACAGTTCTCAACATCTGGAAAGGACTCCATTAGCTACCCCTGCTCTAGTCAGTTACCCATACTCTTCCCACAGTTGCCTGCCCTTTCACAAGATCACCATTCTCCTTTCTATGACCATCCTGTCTGACCAGAAATCATGCTAAATTCAACACAAAGCAAATCATAATGGCAAGTGGGAGAAAGCTGGCTAGGTCCTCCACTGAAAGTAATGAGGCACAGATAGGAAGCTCCTTTAAAAAGGGGGGGGGGACGCACAGCAATTTTTAATCAAGTTATGTTGTTCTTTAATCCACAATTTTATACCTAAAAGGTAAAGGGACCCCTGACCGTTAGGTCCAGTCGTGACCGACTCTGGGGTTGCGGCACTCATTTTGCTTTATTGGCCGAGGGAGCCGGCATACAGCTTCCGGGTCATGTGGCCAGCATGACTAAGCCACTTCTGGCGAACCAGAGCAGCGCACGGAAACACTGTTTACCTTCCCACCGGAGCGGTACCTATTTATCTACTTGCACTTTGACATGCTTTCGAACTGCTAGGTTGGCAGGAGCAGGGACCGAGCAACGGGAGCTCACCCCATCATGGGGATTCGAACCGCCGACCTTCTGATTGGCAAGCCCTAGGCTCTGTGGTTTAACCCACAGCGCCACCCGCATCCCAATTTTATACCTACTCCGTGCTTAATCAAAGGTCACTTCCACACCATACAATTGAAGTGCATTAACCATCTTTTTCCTCTCCAAAGAATCTTGGCAACAGTAGTTTACGCTTTGCAGATCTACAACTCCCAGCACCTTAACAAACTACAGTTCCCAGCATTCTTTGGAGGAAGTCATGTGTTTAAAACATATGGTGTGTATGTGACAAAGTTACATGAATCAGAAGTATACAGCAGTTTAATGAAAAACGCATGTGTTAATTCATCTTTAGGCAAATCCAAATGGGTTATATTTCTCCACAGGCATGAGGAGAAACACACACACACACACACACATTTTAACAAACAACAATGAAAATGCAGTATCTGACAGCGAAAGCATAAACATCAATTTCAGCAGTACAAAGCATTTTCATATGACTTTAGAGCCATATAAATACCTACATGGCTGGTTAGTTCTCCAGTATTAAATATAAATGTACAGAATCATCTACAATTCAAATCTCATGGGAGAAAGCCTATGAATGAAAGAAACCATCCAGAGACGGGGGGGGGGGAGCCTTTGATTTCAACAAAGCATTACAAATAACTTGGGGGCAGAAATGACCCTCTGGAATTTTTAAAGAATACAGGCAGGTGGGCTAGAGTGGTTCACCAAACCCATAAAGTATGACCAATTATCTCACATAGTATCCTTTCAGGGTTGAAGAAGATAGGGAACTACAGGGTGCGAGTGCCTACAGGCTATGCTGTGAACAGGGCAAAATACAAAAAAGGTGATACTCCAACATCAGGTCCAGCCACCAAGGTGGTTTACGGTTTAAAATCTTCACACAAACAAATGGTACAAAATATTCAGGCTAACTCCGGAATTGATGGCTCTGATCCCTGGCCTGGATTTGTTCTCTTCCACCTTTCCTCAGAGAAGTTTCAGGGAAGATGGGTGAGGAGCTGCCCCTACAGTTCTCTCAGACCACTGATGGTCCCTTTACAAGTTGACTGTTATACTTGGACACTTCCATAAATAAGAATTTGAAAAACAAATACAGAGGCTTTGTGTGTCCGAGATCAAGACATGTGGCCACATTCGGCCAAGTATGATGAGCTGTTCCCTTTTTTTGGGGGGGGGGGTAAATGTCACTACTACAATATGGTCATTACTGACCAGCAATTAAATCTCGCCACACAATGAGGCAATCAAAAGAGCTTACCTAGTGTGCATCCACTTCAGAAAATAGCTGGATACTGAACCAAAGTGGGCCACTTTGGAAGTACTCAGACTTGCTCCAAAATGAAGTGGGATTTGTCCAAAGTGGTCCAAAACAAAGCAAGCTGCTCCAAAGCATCATGGACATTTTGGAAGGGTATTTGTATCCTTCCACTCAGTTCTCCTGACTGAGCCAGCCCCTCACTGGCTGCCAAATGTACAAATGAGCAGGTGTGTCTGTGATGGACTACCTGTTGGCAGCAGGCAGCAGAAGGTCCCCAAACAGGGTGTTTGCACGGCAGGGAGGTTGTTTTGCTGAGTTGGCCTGGCATCTTCTGAATTCCAAGCTGTCACATAATGGCATTGGGCCCGATCCGGGTCTGAATGATGCACCTGCCCTGTCCCACGCCTTTCGCCACAGCTGCCACGAGCAGCAGGGCTGCAGATGCAGCAGTGGCACCACCAAACCCTGCCCCTACTTGCATTTAAGTTCAGTGTTGAATATTTTGTTGGTCTGTGTCTCAATGAATAATAGTGTAATATAGAGCTATTCTGTATATTGGTCCAAGTACTACTTTAGTGCACACTTCCAAATTTTTATGAATAAAATGTTGTCTACTCCATCAAGAACGCAGCAGGAATGTGAAACTCGTGCTGTGGATTGGGGTGTATGGGTGGGTGGGTGGGTGTGGATGGAATTAGATACTCATTGATCCACATTACAGTCAAGAAGGGGCCATACAAAGCTTCAGAAAAGTGCACCAAGGCCCCACTTTAGATGTGAAGTCTAATCCAAAGTGTTTGGAATCAAACATCTACTTGTCTGTAACACTAAATCACTTTCTAAAGCAACAAGTAAATAAATTCTGTCCACACTCATATCACATATCCTGTGCTATGGGCAGTTCATGTACCTGGGAACCAGACAGGTCTGTTGTCCAGTTATAACACCTGAAGGCCCCACATGCCAATCAGCTGTGCAAAGTTTTGTTTACTAATCAAAGCAGGAGTTACTCCAAAGGGGGGGGGGACAACAACAGGAAGTCAACACAGGTTTTCAGCGGCACTTGACATGAATAGCTGAAAGGAACCCGCAACAGGAAGAAGCTGTTCAAAGTAGTGTTGAACAAAGCCAAAAGGAAAGGCGATGATTCAAATTCTAATGTGACCTTGTCACAAGAATAAGCATTTTTGCAATGAAATCACCCCAAATGGAGATTTAGGATTATTTCCTTATCAGCATGTTGCCTGACCTTCCTTTTGGCTGGTTTCTGACTATTCGTGCATGAAGTCAAATGCGACTAAAGCCATTACAAAGCACTGAGATTGCACTGCCTGGCTCATTAGCTAAAATTGCAACCCACCCACCACAAAAGCCTATCCAGCAGCTCAGATCCAAGAGGGGGACCTTTTTAACAACAAAAGCAATTGACTTGGCTAAATAGTGAGATAATACTTACTCAGCATTGGCCAAAAAAGGGGCTGTTTCTGGCATGAGTCGTCTTTTTTTTCTTTTTTTTTAATATTACGGTTCATAATTCTCCTTTGTGGAACCAAAGCCATCTGAGTAAATTATCCTTCTGAGGAATTCTGCATGATAATTATTTGATAGGATATCAAAGATCTGGAATAAAGGAAGGTCACACTTTAAGCAACTTCTTTTCTGAAACCTTTCAAAGACTTCAGTGACCTTTTATCTCAGCATTCTTACCGCTGTCAAGGTTTGATCTTACAGTCACTGCAAGCAAAGTTCCCTCGGTTTCACAGAGATGTCATTGTCAAGACATCAATCTTATGCCCACTCACCTGGGAGCAGGCGCCATTGAACTCAACAGCAGTAGACATGGGTAGGGTTACAACGCGTAAGGCATATCTGGCTGACATCCGGAGAGATTGTGGAAACCAACAACATTTTCTAAATGGAAAGAGATGGAGCAAAAGTTAGTTGACTGAGAGAAAATAAATAAAGTAAACTAAAACATAGTTTCAAACCTACCAACCAGGACTGGCCCAGAGGAGATACTGAATGCATTCCTTAGCTATACAAATCTCTTGGGTAGCAAACCACTTTGGGGAAGAAGCAGAAGCAGGTTGGCCGTTCATCAGGTGGGTTGATATTTACCAGGGAAATGAAGGTTATTTCTCTTTGAGTCAGTTTCAGTCCCCCAACCTGGAATTAGTGTCCATTTCCCTAATATAAGAAAGCTTTGCAATGGAGAATCGATACTTTGCAACAAAGCAGCTCAGACTGAGAGTTTATAATGGAAGCTGGAGGTTTCCTTCCTAGTTCTCTGCAGGGCCTTGATAAAGGCAGGTGCTTACATGTGCCTCTCCCATGTTCCGAATAGCTGCACATGCAGCAACTGGGCATTTCACTGGTGGCCCTGAAGCTTCTGTGTGGCTCACCATCCCTTCTGTTCCTGTGGTCCTGGAGGTGATGGGAGAGACAGGGGGACGTGTCAGACAGGAATCCAGGTAATATGTAATGAGACCTCTGATTCTGCAGGAGAGATTGTGATTATGAGGACACCTTTCCTTTAAGGAGCTCAAGGTGGCATCCATAGTTATCCTCCTCCTCCTTCTCCATATATTATCATCAAAACAACCCTGTGAGCTATGTTAGGTTAAGAGACAGTGACTAGCCCAAGGTTAGCCAGTAAGTCTCATGGCTGAGTGAGGATGCAAACCCTGGTCTCCCAGGTCCCAGTCCAACACTCTAAACACTACACTAAACTGGCTATTCAGAGCTGCTGGCACAGTGGAGATCTTCTCCAAAGAATCCCCTGGTTCCCTATCTGGGCATGGCTGAACCCTGACAAGCAGATGCCTGAAACAGGGCCTATTCTGCTTTGAGCCTCAATATTTAGAATAGTCTCATCAGGAAGGACCTCTTGGCCTAACTGCTGCTTGCTTTCAGATTGGCGATTAATAATGTTTTGTTTCAGTGAGACTTTGCAGAAATTTCTTAAAAAGTTAATTTCATGCTGCTTCTGCCTTTAAGCAGGAATTCTAATATGTTTGCATCAATGTGCATTGTCTTATCTTTCTGGGTTGTAAACTGCCATTAATCTTTTGTATAAAGTTAGGATATGCATTTTGACAGATAAATAAATACATATTTGGAAGAAGGCGTCTTCTGAGCCTCAAAAAGATTCAAATATATAGTGCAATTCTCTAAGTGCAAGTTGAAAACCCAAGTTGAAGTTATCAGACATCTAGTCTCTTTCAGAACCTCTGATGCCCAGTTTCGCTATCAAGCCACAATTTCAGCTGGGCTTCAACTGATCAAACCTATTTTGAATGCCAAGCTTCAGCCATGGAATATGTGATATAGAATATATGTGTGGGAAACATATATAATTATTATATTGGAAAGTGAACCTTTGAACAAATGCAGAACTCGTTTTCTCTCACCACTGTATATCCATATAAAAACTTGGGAAGCTGCCTAAACCTTTTCCACACCTAAAATATTGTTGACACCGACTACAGAGTTTCAGACGGGAAATTTTTCTTAGCCATTATCTTGAGATGCCTGGGGCTGAACGTGGAACCCATTTTTTCATGAAAAGCATATGCTCTGGCACTGCGCTACAGTCCATCTCTGCACTGGAAATATGCATGTGGGATTAGAGGCAATTAGATTCATGTCAGGAACTGTGACATGTGTTATGTACTGAAGTTCTCATCCTGGGCCAGCAGGGGGATACTGTAGATAGTTTTCACTCAGGTCCACATATGCAAATAAGGGATTGAAAGTGACGTTCAGTGATTGGATAGTTACAGAAAATGGTTACTGTTGCGTTCTAGTGGAGCTCTATATAAGCAGGCTGGCTGAACCCTTCAGTTCAGTTCTGTTCTGGCCTGTGAATAAAAACAAGAGCTGTTTGAAGAATCGCTGTGTTGTCTGATATGTTCACCCACAACTTAACAACATGCAAGAAATGTAATCCTTGTGCCATGTGCCAGGGGCGGGCAGGAAGAGAAGCGAGCAGAGCAAAGGACATAAATGGTACAGTAGGGTAGTTTCTACACATGCCCCAGTCTATTCCTCCACCCACAGAAGCAGGAAGAATTATCAGAGTTCCAGGGCACATTCATTCCAGACTGGCATAAACACTCCAGGAGAACGAGGAGCAGGGCCTGTGGGGGTGTGGCTTGTGGAGAACGGACGTGGCCTGGGGACAAATCTGAGGTTCAGATAGAGGGGTCTGGAGGGCCACATCTCCCCACCAGATGTGAGATTCCCCATCCCTGCGGTAGAGCATTCTCACAACATTGGGCGAGTTAAATCTGTGCATGACTAAAGCTATGCTGCAATAGTAAACCTCCAGTTCTACACAGGCTTACATACCTTCCTCATGGAGTGTTTCCTGCACATCAGTATGTTCAAGGTTGAGACCTCCCATCTGATTTCGCCCTTAGTTTCAAATAAATATGTCTCTGCAGGCTGCTGCAGCTCCCTTTTATTCAAGCAAAATACAGCCCAATGCCAACACCTTTCCAAAGTTTCAAAGAAGTGCAAATTATATATATATAGAGAGAGAGAGAGAGAGAGAGAGAGAGAGAGAGAGTATTTTTAAAACACCTTTTCACTTGAGCGGTTGCTGGGAACAAATGTCGGCTCCCAGCATGCAGGCTGGATGGTAAAATGACAAGGCCCAGGGTGCTGATTTACTGTTCTCACAGCCATCTTTTCCAACTGATTTATGGCAGTGCAGTGGAAAAGCCTTTGTAAGAAGTCAATTCACCTTAACAAGTAAAAATCACCCATCTGCCAGTTGATAAAGTGAGAACGAGCAGGGGAAAGGAAGAGCCTTATGTTGTTATTGTTTTAAAGGCTAATATAGAGACATCTGAAAGGTTACGTTCTGTGGTCTGTACTAGATGTATCCCACCACATTACTTTAGTCAACCCAAAACTCTAATCAACTTAAATGAAGCCTGCATTTCAGGTAAGCTGCCAGATAATTCACTCTCAGCAAATACAAAATGCCTTTCAAAATTTCACATATTTCCCTTTTGTGAGAACCTTGGTCCTTCCCGCTCCGCTCTGGATACTGAGCACGAGGAGATCAGAGCAGAAGTATTGTACTGGTCATATAAAAACTGCCAACTTTAAGAATGTCAGGCTGCTGTAGAATCCACAAGATGCAGCAAATTGTATTGTATTGTATTGTATTGTACTGTTGTTGGCATCCGTCTATCTCGGGAGATGATGGAGCAGTGTGCCTTTTGGGGTAAATTTGATCTGTTGGAGAGTTATAGTACCTGCTCTGACTGTAGAGACTGATATGGGAGAAACATGTTTTGTTGCAGCTGGGGCAGATGAAGGCATCCAGTTATGCTGCTGCAGATACACCGTGGCATTTATTCTCCCTGCACTCCTTCGCAGCGGTCATTTCTCCTCTGTATCATATAGTCACAAGGAAATAAGCTGTGCTTTCCTTAGCAAAAAACAACAACAATCACAGAATAAACAAAAAGGGTAAAATGCTCAGTAGGAAGTTACAAACATAGCAATAGATATTTAATATTCAATAAAATCCAAACTACAAACACATATTAAAGCATTCCTACACTCTATTTATAAGGCACATGCCAATTGAAAATGGGTGCTCCCATTTTCAGCTTTTAGCCTTCATCAGTGGCCAAGTGTAGATGATCTACTATTAATAAAAGTAATAATGGGGGGGGGAAATTATCTATAAATCTATAAATTACTGTATGATACTTGCCCTTAGGCTTCTGAGTAATGAATTCCTAACTGTGCCATGAATGAGGCTCATCCAGATGCAGGGTTCTATCAATCCCACACAAGAAATAAAAATACACATTTTTGAATTACAGAGATAATATATAATGTTTTGCTCTACATCCAGGTATGTCTGCCAGTAGTTCCAGTGTTTAAGTATGGCTCCCTGTATTGGGCCATTATATCTGTCAAAAGTCAATGGCACCAACTTCCAAGGTTCTCACTGTTCCCCACCCCTTAGGTTTAAACTATTTTCCCATTCCATCCTCCTAGCCATATACATGGTTTCAAAATTCTTCTAGGGTATTGACAGGTCTGAAGTTGTCCAAATATAATTTTAGACGGTTTAGCAAAATCGAATATTCCCAAATGATCAGCCTAAGTAGGAATTGCAGTACTTTCATATGTCTTATAAAGGAGGAAAGGGGAATATAAAAATGAAGGCTTTTCCCAATGTCTTAAACAACTGATGTTAAAATGTCATTGCATGATGAGGCTGGCGCCCTACAGTGATTGACATTCGAAGGGGTCAACAAGACTGCTGCCGCAGGAGATAAAAAGTGCAACATATGAAAATGACCAAAGACCACTGAGATATTATTTAAAGTTCCATTCACAGAAGTCTCTGTCTGATTTCATCAAGGGCATGCATTGAACCAGTAGGGTTTTTTCACCTGTTAATTTTTCACTGACATAGATAAAGTCTAGTTGAATAAGTTTTCCATTCTGGCATTGGAGGGGGGAGAGGTATATACTTCAAATGTTTTTACAATGTATTTTTTCCCCCATTGTGTGCTGCAGGAAAGTCTTATGTGGAGCTGACTGTCAGTTCCCTAGCAGTCTTCTTGTTTTCTGAGGTCTGGGCCATAAATATCGCACAAAAGTAGAAAAAGCATCCCCTCTTCTGTAGGATTAGTTCACAGACAGGCCTTGCTAGGCCACAGTTCAGGTTTGTCCATGATAACCATTGGATTTATGGCCTAGTCCTCTTCTCAGGTCACATCCACACATACATTTAAAGCACATTTAACACACATTCAAAAGTGCATGCCTTTCTACAAAAAATCCTGGTAACTGTGGTTTGTTAAGGGTATTGGGAATTCTAGTTCCATGAGGGGTTAATGGCAGTTCCTAGGATTTTATGGGGGAAGTCATAGAATCATAGAATTGTAGAGTTGGAAGGAACCCCGAGGGTCATGTGGTCCAACCCCTAGCAATGCAGGAATCTCCAATAAAGCATTCATGACAGATGGCCATCCAACTTCTGCTTAAAAACCTCCAGTGAAGGAAAGTCCACCACCTTCTAAGGAAGTCTGTTCTACTGTCGAACTGCTCTTACTGTCAGAAAGTTCTTCCAACTGTTTAGTAGGAATCTTCTTTCTTGTAACTTGAATCCATTGGTTCAGGTCTCCTGCACCTTTCAGTGCAGAAGAAAGCAAGCTTGCTCCATCTTCTATGTGACAGCCCTTTAGATATTGGAAGATGGCTATTGTATCTTCTCTCAGTTTCCTCTTATTCCAGCTAAATATGCCCAACTCCCTCAACTGTTCCTCAGAAGGCTTGGTTCCCAGACCCTTAATCATCCTGGTCACTATCCTCTACACATGTTCCAGCTTGTAAATATCCTTCTTAAACGGTGGCACCCAGAACTGGACAC